TTTTCACTCACCTCATAGTTCTAGCCGACCTGTGACAATGAGACTGTCACAGGTCGGCTCAGTAGATCGGGAGGTGAGCGAACACATACCGGCGTTCGCTCACCTCTCGATCCTGTCACGGCTCTCTGCCGTGACAGGGGGAGGGGCTGGATTCCCCTCTCCCTGCTCCGATCTGCCAGCGCTGACTGGCGGAACGGACGGGGGCGGGTACAGCTGGCTCTGCCTCTAGATAGGCAGAGCCAGCTGTCACTCACGCAGCTGGGCGGATCCCGACGTCCATGTCGGGATCCGCTCCGGCGTCTCAGTATACCGCGAGCTGTAGCCCGCTATATACTGAGCCTAGGGTGACGGGAGGACGCTAGTTTGTGTCCTCCCGTTACCCTAAGGAGAACTATGGGGAAAAGCCCTGACTTCATAGTTCTCCTTTAACCAACAACACCAGAGAACCCGCGCCGCTGAGCGCGCCGATCACAGAGGGACGCGCGGTACAAACACAGCACAAGAATATCCATCTGCACCGGAAGCATCTGCTTAGAATGAAACTCAAATTCTAAACGCATCACAAATATGATTCAATGTATAAAATATTCCTCAGGATGGCAAAGGATTGGCTCCAAGGCCACACGAAAGGAGAGGAGAGCGCTGCGAGGTTTCAGTCCGGAAAACAATAAACCAGCACAGACAACACATTTTGGAGGCACGGTGTGGCCCCCCCCGTTCATCGGGGCCGAACAATACAACACACGAAGGTGAAGTATAAGAAATAAAAAGATCTCATTGTTGCATTGTTGGTGTTACGAAACACGTTGGGTACGCAACGTTCGATCCCGCTGGCTTCTGTCCACACAATGAAGCTGACCATAAGCGCGGCGATTTGGTGGAGCCGTCAAAACGCCGAATTCCACTGTTTGCCGAAATCGTACAGAAGCCGGAGACGTAAAATGGAGGTGCAGATCGGCTGCGGGAAGAATCTGATCACTTGGAAAGAGATCGGCAGTCTTTTCTTTCCTTTTCTTTTCCATCTTTCGATAAACCGGATCGAAGCTACAAATGTATTGATCAGTTCAAGCTTTACAACGGGTCAGACTTTGGGAGTCAATCAATACGAGTGCGTCACATCGCTTCGTTTCTGCACTCACATTTACATTTCGCCTGGAATGCTGGCGCCGGGGCCAATCAGCAAATAGGCGGAGTCTGATCGAACAGCATGTCAGTATGCCTGAGCTGAGCCCCCCCCCGCTGCATTCCTCCGTACCTGCCTGTGTCTCCAGCATCCATTGTGACTTCAGTAACTCAAGTGTCTCCAGTGCCCCCGGTGTCTCCTGCATCCACAGTGTACCCTGTGTCTCCTGCATCCACAGTATCTCCAGCGCCCCGTGTCTCCTGCATCCCCAGTATCTCCAGCACTCCCAGTGTCTCCTGCATCCCCAGTGCAACCTGTGTCTTATTTGGTGGAGCCGTCAAAACGCCGAATTCCACTGTTTGCCGAAATCGTACAGAAGCCGGAGACGTAAAATGGAGGTGCAGATCGGCTGCGGGAAGAATCTGATCACTTGGAAAGAGATCGGCAGTCTTTTCTTTCCTTTTCTTTTCCATCTTTCGATAAACCGGATCGAAGCTACAAATGTATTGATCAGTTCAAGCTTTACAACGGGTCAGACTTTGGGAGTCAATCAATACGAGTGCGTCACATCGCTTCGTTTCTGCACTCACATTTACATTTCGCCTGGAATGCTGGCGCCGGGGCCAATCAGCAAATAGGCGGAGTCTGATCGAACAGCATGTCAGTATGCCTGAGCTGAGCCCCCCCCCGCTGCATTCCTCCGTACCTGCCTGTGTCTCCAGCATCCATTGTGACTTCAGTAACTCAAGTGTCTCCAGTGCCCCCGGTGTCTCCTGCATCCACAGTGTACCCTGTGTCTCCTGCATCCACAGTATCTCCAGCGCCCCGTGTCTCCTGCATCCCCAGTATCTCCAGCACTCCCAGTGTCTCCTGCATCCCCAGTGCACCCTGTGTCTCCTGCATCCCCAGTGCACCCTGTGTCTCCTGCATCCCCAGTATCTCCAGCACCCCGTGTCTCCTCCTTCCCCAGTATCTCCAGCGCACCCTATGTCTCCTCCTTCCCCAGTATCTCCAGCACCCCGTGTCTCCTCCTTCCCCAGTATCTCAAGCGCACCCTGTGTCTCCTGCATTATTAGTATCTCCAGCGCACCCTGTGTCTCCTGCATCCCCAGTATCTCCAGCGCACCCTGTGTCTCCTGCATCCCCAGTGTTCCCTGTGTTTCCAGTGACTGCTATGTCTCCAGCAACCCGTGTCTGCAAGGACCCCTATATCTCCAGAGTCCTCAGTGTCTCCAGCATCCCCATTATCTCCAGTGTGGACTGACCTGTATCCATTCTCCTCCTTCCAATTCGGAAGCACAGGCTCTTGTCCTGTAAGAGGTCCGACAGACGAGCCGCGTCCCAGCGAGAAGCCGGCCAGTCCTGGGCCATAGCGAGGAAAACTGCGGGCCGGTCCAGGCCAAGGACAATCTCTCTGGCCTCTTGTGCTGTGAATGGCTTCATTCTGGAACCTGAAAAAGACAGAAACCGCAAAACTGCTGATCAATCAGCGCCAGGAGGAGCTTACACTCTAATGTCCCCTCCCCCCACATTCACATCAGTCCCTGTCCAGAGGAGCTTACACTCTAATGTCCCCCCACAGTCACATCAGTCTCTGTACAGAGGAGCTTACACTCTAATGCCCCCCTCCCAGTCACATCAGTCTCTGTACAGAGGAGCTTACACTCTAATCTCCGCCCAGAGTCACATTCTATTTTTATACATTTATACAGCTCTGACACATACCACAGTGCTTGCAGCACACTGATCACTGGGGGAGGGAAGACTATGGAAATGCTTCCTTCTGCCTGCAGCAGACTGATCACTGGGGGAGGGGAGACTGAGGAAATGCTTCCTTCTGCCTGCAGCAGACTGATCACTGGGGGAGGTGTCCCCCCCCCGGGGCGATGGCCGCGTGGATTCAATCGCTCATATTCAGAAATTTCCACGTTTGTTGTTCCTAATTAGAGGCGACTCCCCATATAAAGCGGAACGCGTCCCCGTTCTGAGGGTTCCGGCTATCCCGGATGACAAGGATAACCCCATCAATCAAGTCTCCCCCCTCGATCGGCTTCCATCAGCCTCGCCGCCAAAGCGCTTTCCTCGGCGCGCCTCCATTACATCGGTGTCCCGCCGAGCCGTCTCGCTGTAGCTGTCGCCGCTGACTTGCTCGTCGCTGTAATAAACGATCCTTTACTGCGAACTCCCGGCAGGAAAAATCACAGACCCGGACGGCTTAAAGAGAAAACAAAAAAACACCCCCCAACTTTATCGCTCCCCGCCGAGCCCGGCGCTTAATGACGCCGTTTACGACATAACAGGCGCTGATATACCGGCTCGGGCATTTAGACCTTAACGCGTTTTGGATTGCTTGCTCTCGACAGTAAATAAGCGATAAATCCTCTTCCGTCTGTCTGCCGGCGCAACGCTCGATGGCGACGCGCACTAAAAAGGGACACGCTGATTAACTAAAGACGGGGACAGGCGGGTCCATAAAACGCACTGCGCGGGAGCGGCGCTCCTGAAACGTACTCAGGCGCCGCGACCCGGTTTAAAGAAGAACCCCCAACCCATGGGACGTGCGCTAGTGTCACCTGGTAAGAGACCGGAAGGTGAGGGGGCTTCTCCTGCGACCCGTGTCCCTCCGCCCCCTGGAGGTGGGAACAGGCAGAGCCGTAGCTAGCTCCTTTTGCACCCGAGGCAAGAACAGAAAATTGTGCCCCACCCCCAACAGACGTGTGATGTCACCCACCGCCGCACACGTGCAGCATCATGTGACGTCATGCGCCCCCGCCTTCAGGCGGAGGAGAGTAGCGGGGATCCGAGGAGAAGCTGGAGGTTGTGCCGCTCCTCTTCTCACTGCCGAGCCGCGGCTGTGTTGGCAGGCTGGTGCCCCTGTTCCCATGGCGCCCTGTGCTTGCCATGGCAACAGGGGCGAGGGGGTGCAGCCAGGCCTGCCCTGGCTGTGCCCCACCTCTCATCTGCGCCTGAGGCGAGTGCCTCACTCGCCCCATGGTAGCCACAGCCCTGGGAACAGGAAGCAGTTGGACAGCGAGCAGCACGCGTGCCACTGATGGGAACCGTCGCCGCGCAGGAGACGTCCTGATGGCGTGTAGTCAGCAAGCCGGGGGGTGGCCCTCCGAGCAGACAACGTGATGTGTACAACGTCAGGCAACTTGGATGGATCAATAGGCAAACAGGAGCAGAAACATTGTATATAATATTTACTTATTGATTAATGTTGCCCGAGATCTGAGATATGTGCAGGTGTGTGTCTGGGACCATAGAGGAGGGCTGGGGACCATGGGGGGTGGGGGGG